AAAAATATATTTTTATTGACTTCAGAGAGGAAGGGAGAGGGAGAGACAGATAGAAATATCAGTGAGGAGAGAGAATCATTGATCGGCTCCCTCCTGCACGCCCCACACAGGGGATGGGGCCCACAACCCGGACATGAGTTCTATCTGGGAATCAAATAAGGTCAAGGAAATAAAGAGAAAAAGACAGGAATGGCAAAATGAAAGAAAAAACTTAAAACAGTGCACTGCTAGAGAAGCTCTAAGAGAAATTAAAAAACAAAAACATAAAGGAATGCAAGGAACACAGGGAAAAAATAATAAGAAATATAGGAGATTTCCCAAAACTGAAGAAAGACATAAAAGTCTGCATTTTCAAAGGATCCACCATTTGAATGAATTACAGAATGAGCACACAAGGACTACAACTTATTCTCTTTAATTTCATAATCCCACGGGAAAAAAGCTTCCACAGAACAAAGCCGGTTACCTACAAAACATTCTTCATGCTAGTGCCAAGCCTCTCAGCAGTAAACTGGTTACTAAAATGTAATGGAATTCAACCTTCAAAATTCTGAAGGAAACTATTTGAAGCTTGACTTCTATACCCAGCCAAGGCATGTAACCAGGTGTGAAAGTGAAAAGGACATTCTCAAACATTGTGTGGACAACACGCACACGCACACACACACCCTTTCTGAAAACATTACTTCAGAAAGTGCTCTAAAAATGTGCAAAATAAATCCAAAAAAAGGGGGGGAGGGAACAGCTAAGAGAGCATAGAACTTGTCCAAGAATGCAATTAAGTAGCATGATATCAGCTGATCGTATCCATATAAAAAGGCAATTCACATTAGAACTTCAACCAATAGTATGATTTCAAAACTTGATAACCAAGTGATATTATAAAGGCATATACAGTCTTCTACCAATAGGGGGGAAATGTGGCAATTAAAAAATCCTGGGGGGAAAAAAAAAGTTATAGCCCAAACTAGAAGCCAAACTGAAGTATGACATGACCTTGAGTACCAATAGCGTGTAAGAAGTCCATATGCTCTCCCATCACATGCATCCTACTGCTCTGTTTATAGTTACTATTGTTTACATAGCATAACAATGATTACTGCTTTTTGGAATCAAGCATAACTATTAAACCGTGATGACATAAAATAAATGTTACAGTTAACAAACTGGAGAAGAAATGTGAGGTAAAGATTATAAGTGGTACTATTTTTTCTTAAGAAGTGGCAAGATTAGCCGAGACCGGTTTGGCTCAATGGATAGCGCGTCGGCTTGGGGACTTACGGGTCCCGGGTTCGATTCCGGTCAAGGGAATATACCTTGTTGCGGGCATATCCCCAGTAGGGGGTGTGCAAGAGGCAGCTGATCGATGACTCTCTCTCATCGATGTTTCTAACTCTCTATCTCTCTCCCTTCCTCTCTGTACAAAATCAATAAAATATTTTTTTTAAAAAATTAAATAAAAAAAGAAGTGGATGATACAATAAGTTTAAGTATAAAGGCCCCCCCCCCCCCCCAAAAAAAAGAAAAAATGAAGAGAATAAGTATTAAAAGTAAAGCTTCTCATTTTTTACAATGGGGATATATTAGATTACTTAAGATCAGTCAAGCCCTAACCAGTTTGGCTCACTGGATAGAGCATTGGCCTTCGGACTGAAGGGTCCCAGGTTCGATTCCAGCCAAGGGCATGTACCTTGGTTGTGAGCACACAACCAGTAGGGCATGTGCAGGAGGCAGCTGACCAATGTTTCTCTCTCATCGATGTTTCTCTCTCATGGATGTTTCTAACTCTCTATCCCTCTTCCTTCCTCTCTGTAAAAATCAATAAAATATATTTTTTTCAAAAAGATCAGTCAAAAATAAAGTTTAGCACATTATACGTAAAATTGGGATAATCAGCAGAAGTAAAAAGGTCTGCCCAGCCTGCATGGCTCAATGGCTGAACACTGACCTATGACCCAGGAGGTCACGTTTGATTCCCAGATAGAACTCAAGCCCGGGTTGTGGGCCCCATCCCCTGTGTGGGGCGTGCAGGAGGGAGCCGATCAATGATTCTCTCTCCTCACTGATATTTCTGTCTCTCCCTCTCCCTTCCTCTCTGAAGTCAATAAAAATATATTTTTTAAAAAACTAGAAAAGGTCTAAAATGGATATCTCTGAGGATAAGAACTAGTTGGAAGAGGTAGAGGGTAGAAAGAGTTTTACTTTGCATTTTATACCTTTGTGTATTATTCAAAGTCTTATGTTGATAAGACTATTACTTCCCAAAATCAATGCACGCCAAGCATATACATACACACACACACACACACACACACACACACACATCACTAGAATTCTCTTTCCCTAACCAATGCAGGAAAAACAATGAGAAATTCTATTTTATTTTTTCCCTTTCTCTATATTCCCATATCCTATATACCAACTCCTATAATGGTATTTCAGGGGAGACACAATTAATTAAACAGACTCAACAACCACTCTAAACCCTTGATCAAAGGTGGTGATGGCAACAGCTTCCATTTATGTTAAAAATTGCCAAAGCCCACCCACATCCATGATCTTATTTAAAAGTACCTTCCTTCACATAGCAGTGAAATCTGAAAACACTTTTCAAATTTCTAAAATGAGAATAACATAAAAGACATTAAACTGAATACAAATGGTCGGCCGCTTTGAAAACAGTTTGGCGGTTTCGATAAGAGTTAAACACAAACTTACCATAGGACCCAGCAATCTCATTCCTAGGTCACAGCCCCAGAAAAATGCATCACACAATCACATGCACACACACGTTCACAGCAGTTTTCTTCGTAATAGCCCCAAACTAGAAACAGCCCAAACGCCCAGCGAACGGTAAACACAAGCTGTGGAATACTACACAACAAGAAAAATGAACAAATTAATGAAAAACGCAACTATATAAAAGAATCCTAAAAGCTCAGGCGGTGTACTTCCCAAACCCTGCTCTCACCCCATTATTCTCTCGCATTCATATTTTCATTACTGTGCTCAAGGGCCAGAGACCTCAAGTTTTATCCCTGGGGTCTCAGCCCCATCACCTTTTTTCAGACCCATCACCATGGTCACCAGAGTAACGGCTTCGTTGCCATGGTTACATACTCATTGCATGGCTCCCTAGCTCAGCCCCCAGCTTAAGCTGTGGTCCATCTGAGGGTATGTGCCACCATCTCCCCAGCCCAGGCCCTCAGGGACCGCGTGCCTCCAGGCCGTGATGCACAGCCTGCTGGCTGGCCAGCCCTCTCCCTCCCTTCCTCAGGACGGTACGGGAGCACAGAGAAGGGAACACCCTGAGGGTGATGAGCATGGAGAGAGGACCAGGCCTCCAGCAGCCTGGCCAGTCTTTCCACTTTCACACTCAGCCGGCCTCCTTGCCCCTTCCGGCCCTCGGCTGTGGGTGCGGAGTCCGGGCTGGGTGACTTTCAGTATTTGTAAGCATCTCAGCAGATCAATAAAGCATTTGGATTGTGGAGGGGAAAAAAGCATTAGGCAATGAGAAAGCAATCAGACTCAAAGGACTACATGCTGTATGATTCGACTTGTATGAAATCGCAAAATTATAGTAACAGCAGAGTAGTGGTTACCAAGGGAAGGCAGGAATTTTTGGGGGGTGATAGAAATGTTCTGTCATGATTATAGTGTTGGTTACACTCCTTTAAAGGTTTAGCAAAATTCATAAAGGGCACACTTAAAATTGGTATATTTTATTATATGTAAATAACTCCATAAAGCTGATTTTTAAAAGCTCAAAAATACATCATAATCACATTTAACCATTGTCAACAGCTTTAGGCATAGGTATGAACCACAAACCCTAAAAGAATATTAAAATCACACCTTAAAAGGCAATGTTTAACCAGAAAATGACATCAATAACCGAAAAGTCCTGAGAATGAAAGAGCCCTCGGCCTACTCAATGTGGCCACGTGGATAAGCAGTGGTTGCCTAGCAACTAGCCCAAACTCTAGAATTCTAATAAACACATTGACCACATTAGCAGAGGTGATCTCATAGAGGATAACATGTTTTACATTACAGGGTTCTTCCTTTAATATTACCAAAGCATAATAATGCACTTGAATTATGTATCTAAAGTGGGAGTAAACAAAAAATACTAAAAGTAGATCATGAAAAACAAAACATAAAATTAAACATAAACACACACACACACACAAACACACATATACACCCTTTCCTCGTGTGGTCTTCCAATCAGGATTTAACTTACCTACTCATGAGATGGTGAATCCAAGGGTTTGTGGATGACCCTCCCCCTTTATTCCTTTAATCCCTTCCCCTACCACCATCCAAACTGGCTTACTATAACTGGATTATTTGATTTATGCTTACATGTCTTAAAATACATACAAGCTAGACAACTTCTTTTGATATTAAATCATTCTAAAGATTTCTCTCTTGTTATGTGTAGAGTCAGCAGGCAACACAAAAAAACACCACACCTATTTTCTGTAACATACATGCCCACAACATACCAGAAAGCCAAACTTGATTATCAATTATCAAAATAAAAGAATTACAGTCCGGCTGGCATGGCTCAGTGGTTGAGCATCCATCTATGAACCAGGAGGTCGTGGTTCGATTCCCAGGTTTCGGGCTGGATCCCCAGTGTGGGGCGTGCAAGAGGCAGCAGATCAATGATTTTCTGTCATCATTGATGTTTCTCTCTCTCTCTTTCTCCCTCTTCCTCTTTGAAATCAATCAATAAGTGTATATATATATATATATATATATATATATATATATATATATATATACATCTTTAAAAAGAACTACAAAGAATCCTTGAATAACAAACAAACTCCTAGCACACCTAACACATATGCTAACCATCATTTCTCTCTTACTGGACGCAGCACATCACAGTTTATCTGTTAACGGCATCAGGGAAAAAATCAACTACCAAGACACCGCTGAGCGCCAGCACACTTACCAGCACGCATCTGGCTCTGTGGGACACTTACCCCTCTTCTGAACCCAGCCTTCTTTCACAATGGTGACATCGCTCATGGTGGCTCCCCGCTGGCCCCCAACGCGGAGAAGTGGGAGTGTGTGATATCAGCTTTGGGGTTTTTATCTGCTGCTGCTGCCCTTCCCACTCTCTGGCGGTGACTCAGCCTGGAAGGAAGTATTGAAGAAAGAATGTCTTTTTTTCCCTTCCGTTCTTGGAGATCACACAGCAATAACAAACAACCGATTCTTTGTCGATGTCTTCAATGGGCCTGACCTTACAGAAAAGTCGAGCTCTTCAAACTGGGGGGCGCATTTATCAAACAGTTGTATAACCAACACACGTCCCTGGTCTCGTGACGCGTTCCCAATGAGAGTGGGACGCGCAGCCTAAGAGGCTGCAATAAAAAAATGTCCTTCAGAAAAACCGCTGTCACACCTACCCAGAGAACACAGAACATGTGTCTGGCGATGTGTGCTGGAGGCAAAAGGCAAGAGAATGGAAAGTTAAGTGGACTAAAAAGTCCATCTTCCACCTATGTCCAATTTCAAAAATCTCTGTCAATGTAAAAATAGTTATGGGAAAGCCATTGTGAATGCGTTGAATTGCTGTGTTTTGTGTAAATTACCATGGTGCTACGAAATCGACATTTAGGTATGCTTTTTCTGCTTGGATCCAAGAAATATTTTAGGTTGATTACAATAAGCAAAATATCGATATGACAAATACTAAATCAATTACTTTTAAAGTAGACAACGTAACACAGGGAATATGAAAATATTTTTTAAAGTATGGAGCATTGAAGAGGCGCCAGGAACTCCTAGAGGCACTTAAACCTATTAGTCATATAGATAATCTTCACAACCACCTTAGGAGGTACTATTAACCCCATTTCACAGATGGGAAAGCTTAGGTTCATAGAGTTAAACAGCTTGCCCGATTTGAACACAAAATGATGGAGCCAAGGTGTCTGACTCCACAGCCTGCATTCTTAACTCCAAAACATGGCCTTATATCAATGATTTTCAACTAGTGTGCTGCAAGAACTTCTAAAACATGTAATAACACAATATACAGATGAAGCATTATAGAATTGTATACCTGAAACCTACATACTACTATTAACCAATGTTACCTCAAGAAATTCAATTGAAACAAAACATCCAATACCTGACTATTTAGTCCAGGGCACTGACCTCTTTTCCCTTAGAATATCAAATAAAAAACTGACAACAGCCCTGGCCAGTTTGTCTCAGTGGATAGAGCGCTGGCCCACTGAAGGGTCCCGGGTTCGATTCAGGTCAAGGGCACGTACCTGGGTTGCAGGCTCAATCTCTGACCCTTGTCGCAGCACGTGTGGGAGGTAAACAATCAATGCGTCTCTCACATCAATGTTTCTCTCTCTCTGTCTCTCCCCCTCCCTTAAAATAAGTAAAAATAATAATAATTAATAATAATAATAATCACCAATACAATAGGTGCCCAGTGTGACGGAAAAATTATACTGCAGAACTTTAGGAATTGGCTTATACGTGCCGTGAAATGAAAAAGATTCAAAATCCAGCAAAAGAAACCATCAACAAAACAACAAGAAAGCCCACGGTGTGGGAGAACATATTTGCAAATAACACCACTGATAAAGGTTTAATCTCCACCATCTACAGACAGCTGATACAATTAAATAAAAGGAAGATGAATGATCCAATTAAGAAATGGGCAATGGACCTAAATAGAATATTTTCAAAAGAAGACAGAAGGAAGGCCAACAGGCACATGAAAACATGCTCAAAGTCACTAATTATCCGAGAGATGCAAATTAAAACAACAATGCGGTACAATCTCACACCTGTCAGAATGGCCAACATCAACAAATCAACAAACGACAAGAGTTGGCGAGGTTGTGGAGAAAAAGGAACCCTCGTGCACTGCTGGTGGGAATGCAGACTAGTGCAACCTCTGTGGAGAACAGTATGGAGTTTCCTCAAAAAACTGAAAATGGAACTCCCATTTGACCCAGTAATATCCAGCAGTGGCTAGGAATATATCCCAAGAAACTAGAAACACCAATCAGAAAGGATATATGCACCCCTATGTTCATAGCAGCACAATCTACAATAGCCAGAATTTGGAAACAGCCTATGTGCTCGTCAGCAGATGATTGGATCCAAAAACTATGGTATATCTACACAATGGAATACTATGCTGCCATAAAAAAGAAGGAATTCTCATCATTTGCAGCAACCTGGATGGAATTGGAGAACATCATGCTGAGTGAAATAAGCCAATCAATGAAAGAGAAATACCACATGAACCCACTCATTTGTGGATAATAAAGATCATTATAAACTGATGAACCAAAAGATAGATATAGAGACAGTAAAGCAATAGGTAGACTGTCAAATTACAGCGGGGAGGGGAGGAGGATCTGGGGGAGATAATAGATCAACCTGAGGACTTGTATACATGCATATAAGTACATCCAATGGACATAAAACTCTGGGGAGGGAGGGGATGTGTGAGAGGGTGGGGGGCAAAAAAAAAAATCAATAAAATATGTATAAATAAATAAATGGTTAAAAAAAAAAAAGTTGAAAATCGCTGCCTCGGAAGCCGGAGTAAAACCTGTGCGTTTATGAAGATGGCCTTCAGGGAGCCTTACAAATAAGGTAACACTACAGGTCTCAATACCTACAGCACCCGTCAGGGTTTTCACACAAAAAGGAAGTGGCTCAGAAGGAATATAATTCTTCCTGGGACAAAAATCTGACCTTTTTATCATGGGTCTTTACAAGACACTTTCTAGTGTAAAAAAACAAAAAAAAAAAAAACAAAAAAAAAACAAAAACACAAAGTTCCCAAAATATCCTCACGCACAAATAGCACTGCGTTTTTCGGGTGATTTCTTATTGCCCCTCTCAGCCTAAAAAGGGAAATACCGAGATAAAACGGAGTAAAAGCATTTCCCAGAAACGGGCCAAAGCGTGGCCTGGGACACAGGCGTCAGTCTCAGATAACCAGCAGAGGGATGGACGGGCTGTATCAGGGGCTGTTTTCTCAAACTGCGTTTGGATCAATGGGCCTCGTGGTGAGTGAAGGAGAGAGAGACCCATTGGCTAGTGCTAGACTGGATTCCAGTTATTTCTCTGATGCAGATGAAGGGCACAGCCTAACCACTGAGCAGCCAGGAATCTAGACTACAGACCCCACAGGCTGTGTAGCCGAAGCCAATGCCATGGCCATCCTATGCCCTGGGGCTGCCTCAGGACCTCCAGGCAGGGCCCAGTCTGTCCCCAAAAACGTCCGGCTTGCCGAAACCGGTTTGGCTCAGTGGATAGAGCATCGGTCTGTGGACTGAAGGGTCCCAGGTTCGATTCCGGTCAAGGGCATGTATCTTGGTTGTGGGCACATCCCCAGTGGGGGGGTTGCAGGAGGCGGCTCGTCAATGTTTCTCTCTCATCGATGTTTCTAGCTCTCTATACCTCTCTCTTCCTCTCTGTAAAAAATCAATAATATATATATATATATATATATATATTTTTTTTTTTTTTAAAGCGTCCAGCTCTCCTACTGTACAGAGTCCAAAAAGATATTAGGATCTGGGGGTACTTCCCCAAAATATGTTTGGCAGGTATTAGAAAGAAGTTCTAGAATTTTTTTTTTTTTTTGAAGAAAAATGGAAAAAGAAAAACCCTTTGGTCCAGTAAGTTGGGAAAATTCTCCGAACCATGTGTCTTTCTCTTGAAACATGAGGATAAACACAGTAAGCATCTCAGCCAACCCTCCATGTGTCTGAACGCACAGGGCTCTCTTTTTCCTTTCTTCAGCAGCGGGTATTGGTGTCCAGAGGAGCCCGCGTTGGAAACGCCACAGGATGTGGCCACATCATTCAAGACGAGGCTCCTCTCACCATGAAAAGCAGCAACAAACAGAGAAACCACAAACCCTTCGGTCAAGAATCCAAAGATCATTTTAATTTCGTGTATGAACCTTCCTGAAGCCCTCAACATGGTCCACTGGCTACATGACACATACCGAGCTAAATCATTAAGAGGGTTAACTTTTTTAAAATTTTTATTGATTTTTTTTTTTTACAGAGAAGAAGGAAGAGGGATAGAGAGTTAGAAACATCGATGAGAGAGAAACATTGATCAGCTGCCTTCTGCACACTCCCCACTGGGGATGTGCCCGCAACCAAGGTACATGCCATTGACCGGAATCAAATCCGGGAAACGTCAGTCCACAGGCCGAAGCTCTATCCACTGAGCCAAACCGGTTTCGGCAAGAGGGTTAACTCCTTACATAAATAATGGCAGGGAGGTAAATACTGGGAACTAAATGATGTCCGTGTGGAGCTGCCCAGCAGGCCTTCTCTTTGGTTCTACTGTAGCAAGGGGCCTCACACCAAAAAAAAAAAAACAAAACTAATTCTTGGCTTCTGGCTATAAAATGATGGCACATGGGTAAAGGGAAACTCCTATCTGAATACTCTTAGGGTTAGAAATGGAAGAGGTCAGGGATCAATGCTTAGTAACAACCAAAAATAATCCATATCCAACAGACTTATTTAAAATGTGGACTTCCCTATTTATTAATAAGTGATGTATTACCATACCCCTATTTAAAAAAAAAAAAAAGTATTGTCAAAATGGATTTTTTTTTTTTTTAAGGTGGACATTTCATTGTAAGAATGTTAAAGCTGGAAGCGACCTTAGGTTGACAGTTGAGGGCAGGGTCAAGCCCAAGGTCACAGGCTTCCTCCATGGAGGCCCAGCACAGAGCTCAGGTGCATGCTCTCTCCAGCAGCACTGCCTCTCCAGGATAAAGCGAGAGGCTGAAATCTCCACAGCAGCCCCAAGTCAGTTAATTCATTTTATAAAGAAACTGTTTCAAAAACTAGTATTTCAGATTAAAAAAAAAATGTTTGGCAGAGCTTATATATTCAAACTGTTAAAATCTATGTTAGATCAATAGAATAGAATTTATCACCTCTGTGAGGGGCAGTGACCCCACACATTATAGAGATGGCTTTGTGCATTTGCATCTTACAATGTGAACAGAG